TGATCATCATCATCCGACGGTGTCGACGCACTTGATGATGCTGAGCAGCAGCATCCGACGGTGTCGATGCTCCCGATGGTGCTGATCATCATCATCCGACGGTGTCGACGCACCTAATGATGCTGACCATCATCATCCGACGATGTCGACGCACCTGATGATGCTGGTGTAATATTTTGGGAAATCTGCATGCGTCGATGCCGACAAGGCCGCCACGATGATTGGTATGTCTGCGCGGCAATTTGCGTTCTTTTTGCGGACATTTTATGCATGGCGGCCAACAGGTTGGTAGAAAGGGGATCTCTGTAAACTAGCCCCCCCACTGACGATTTTTGCCAAAATATATCGCTTGTGACTTAGAAAGCAGTCACGTACAGCTGAGTTGGGATAAATTGCCGAGTTGGAAAATGATAAGTTACATCACTAATTAAAACATTAATAATGGTTTTCACATCCCTAACGATTTTCGCAGAAATATTACGGAAATGTTTAAGCGTCAAATGGAATATTGTGGCCAATGTGTATTAAAATATTTAGCTGCGGTCTTTTACCATTTTATGGATTTGAACAATCCAGAATTATATAAAACTTTCAGAGTGCAAGGGGAAGTGTAGCGACGTGTGCAGCTGTGAATAATATCATTAAATGATACGTAATGTTATGCATTGAAGTCGCATTGGGTTCTTTGGCTATATTACTTTGTTATGCTGATGAAAAGTAGCCCGCAAGAAACTGAAATGGCTTACATAGTGCCACATCCTTAAAAGGAATATTACGCTCACTCAGGCGCGCTACGCGCACGATTCAACAAATATGTATTTGGTGGCCCTATTAATAGCGCATGCATATTCTACACCACAGCTACCACAAAGTCATCCTCAGTTTGTTTTACACCGCACTTTCATGTATTTTATTGAAGCCATTCTTAGCCGCAGTCCCTTGCACGTATTGATTCATGGGAATTGTTCATTGTGACCGGTCGAACACATTTGAGACTTGTTGAGCATTGTCGATTATATCATGTTGTTGATTACAATCGTTGATGCCATGCAGTATCTGAATCGCAAAACGGGGTGCAACACCAATTCCAGACCGAAGCTTTCGCGCCGCCTGCCTGTTACGCAAAAATGGTACTTTAATCAAGCAGCCCTTTTCACGCGGGCGAGGGCGGCTGTGAACTAAATACCAAGACAAAAAAGGAGGTTGGAGTGGGGTGTGTAATTCGGCCCAATGGCTGGGCTGCCAAATCCCACAACTGAATCCGTTAATGCAGTCTGTCGTTTACCGCCTCATAAAAAGAAACATATGTGTTTGTCACAGAGAGCAGCGCTACGTGACAAAAAGTCGTGTTTGCTCTCACCGCCTGATAAAGATTGCACAGTTGAACGGGCAAACGATGCAGTGAACTTAAGACAGCTAGGGCTATAGCATATCCAAAGGCTTGAGGGATTAAACTGAAAGACTCCTAAATACGGGATTGACCTAAGTCGTTCATAATTAGCCCCGTCCCTCACAACCAAAAATACGTGGCGCCACTCATGGGCACCATAGAAAAGTGCATTCGGTGCCTCTTTCTGGTCAGAAAGGCGCATTCCTCCAGCACATCAGTTCCCTCCCAAACCTGCCTGTGCATGATTTTTGTGTTTCCTAATTAACACGCGCCCAGGTGGCCGGCTAGATACCCTTCGCTCGGATGGGGGAGGGGGTCAATTTGACCCCCCGAGATCTCGAGAAGTAAGAAAGCTAGGGACGCCAAAGTTTCAGGGTGTGTTGACCTGTACGTGAACTCACTGTGGTCAAATTTTAAGGTTCCTAGGCCATGGCCTTCAGGTCAAATAAGGTCAAACAAGGTCAAATTCCAGGTTGGTCAGCTTCAAAGGTCAACTTCAGACCGCGTGACGGATTTGGGTTCGCCTAAGTCAAGAAGGCTTCTCAGGCATCATGGTGCTGTCACGTGAACATGTGACCGGAGAAGAATACCATAACCGTATCACTCGGCGGCTGATATCAACATAACCGCATCACTTGGCGGCTGATATCAACATAACCTTATCACTCGGCGGCTGATATCAACATAACCGTGTCACTTGGCGGCTGATATCAACATAGCCGTATCACTCGGCGGCTGACATCAACATAACCGTATCACTCGGCGGCTGATATCAGCACAACCGTATCACTCGGCGGCTGATATCAACATAACCTTATCACTCGCCGGCTGATATCAACATAACCATATCACTCGGCGGCTGATATTTACATAACCGTATCACTCGGCGGCTGATATCAACATAACCGTATCACTCGGCGGCTGATATCAACATAACCGTATCACTCGGCGGCTGATATCAACATAACCGTATCACCCGGCGGCTGATATCAACATAACCGTATCACTCGGCGGCTGATATCAACATAACCGTGTCACTCGGCGGCTGATATCAACATAACCGTATCACTCGACGGCTGATGCAAACACTAATGCACGTGTCATTCCTGCGCGCCGCCAGTGAAACTTTGCTGGCGCTTGATGTGGGTACTCTCGAACTGAGTTATTGAAACATTTCGATAATCTGTATTCGTAAGAATACCTTGTTTACATAGGACGTTTGGCATAGCTCGTTTGCAAGGGCGTAGTTTCTAAAAATAAGTTAGGGAACTAGAAAGTGAAAATGACCCAACACACCACAAAGTGTGCCAACTAACCGGTGGCCCTGCCCTGGCCTTGCATTTGGTACACTTTCCCGCCAATGTGTGTGTGTGGGGGGGGGGGGGGGGCTGAGACCAAGTTGGGGAGTGGGCTTCAGTCCCCGCCCAGCTGAATACGAAACTACACCCCTGCTCGTGTAGACGACCAAGAACTAAGTTCCTTCCCCATTCTTCCTGGATCCGCCTATGGCAGTACACGTGCACCACGAGTCCCCCCAAGCACAACCATTCTCGATGCAATAGAACAGGTCATGGAACGCGTTATGCCATGGTAGAACATGCAACTCAGTCAAGCATCGGCTGACATATCCTAAGAACCAATGGCGACGCGCTCGCTTTAAATAGCCAGCGGTTCTCCCTAGCATGTCTAAAGGTACGCGACATGCAGTCATCGCTGAATGCTATCGTGGCTCGCCTTTTGACAGGTTTTGTAAAAACGACTTTAAGGAAAGCCCAGCCCGTTACGAAACGCCGCCTCTAATGGCTGCAAACGCCGTTAAAAATAAAGCATATCAGAAGGGGACGACACATCTTGAAGACGGCGTTTAACATTGCTATATTACGTTTAATATCGCAAAATTGCACAAATCGGATATTGCAAAAGTCACTCTCATTCCAAATAAAATGTGTTTCATACTAGAAATCTAGTGACAGCGTCAGTCATGATATAGCATGATGTGCTCATGTAATGTTTGTCGCATGACGCCGACAGCTACAGCACCCAGTTAGATGCGATATTGAGCAGAATAAGCAGCGCGCAAAGCACGTCATCAAAACAAGAATACGCGGGAGACAAACGGCGTGTGACAAGACTAACCGTAGGAATCTAAACACTGCGGCAGGTGTGACAGGAGCGACAGAACACGGGTGACAGGACAGGGACGACAGAAGCGACAGAACACGGATGACGGGACAGGGGCGGCAGGAACGACAGAACACGGGTGACAGGAGCGACAGAACACGGGTGACAGGACAGGGGCGACAGGAACGACAGAACAGGGACGGCGGGACACAAGCGATTGGTAGCGATAGGACAGGGGCGACAGGACAGGGGCGACAGGACAGGGGCGACAGAACAAGGGTGACAGGACAGGGGCGACAGGGACGACAGAACACGGGTGACAGGAGCGACAGAACACGGGTGACAGAAGCGACAGAACACGGGTGACAGGAGCGACAGAACACGGGTGACAGGGCAGGGGCGACAGAACAGGGACGGCAGGACACAAGCGATAGGTAGCAATAGGACAGGGGCGACAGGACAGGGGCGACAGGGGCGACAGAACAGAAGTGACAGGAGCGATAGGACAGGAGCGACAGGAGAGACAAGAGCGACATGAGCGACAGGACAGGAGCGGAGGAAGGTGGTCTACCGTGCAGGTGCAAAAAGCCGTCAAAAAAAGCAAAAAGGATCAGCCAAATTGTTCAGAAGCATTTTGGGGGATTTCGGAGAATCAAACACGCTTAGCGATTTCGAAAAGAAACTGGACTATATTGAACGGAACTTGTTCCGGATTTTTTACTTACATCGTAAGGATGCAACATTGCATCTGGTGATATCGATTCCCCAGATTGCACCGATCGGTATAACTCACTCCATTTCCGACCAATGGCACTCAGGTCCTCTTGCCTGTGGACGGCAGTGTTGTACTGGGCCGAAACACGGTGTAAAAACAACAGCTCCGAAAAGCGTTGACTCAAGCGAAAAGATGCGACCTGTTCATTCATTACACCACAGGAGACTTGCTGAAACTCGAGGACAGAGGGCACCCACAGCTTGCGTGAATAACGTGTATTTACACGGGTTAAGATGAAACAAAACACAATTAACTGACACATTTCAGACATATTTCACGAGAAACACACGATGACGTACCGACAACATAGCAACCACAGACTGGTGATAAACACACCGGCTTCGCATGTGAGATCACCCTTGACATTGTCTGCAGCGTGTGTACCACGGGTTGCAGTTTCGCGCACGGCTGGCGGGCGTAAGCAGACGCCGAGTGCAACCCAACCCAGCTAGGGCGGTACAGCGCAGCGTTTTGTTGATGCTCATGTCCTGCTGATGACGGGGGTGCGCCATGTCCTGCTAATGACGGGGATGCGCCATATCCCGCTGATGGTGGTAAAGCGCCTCGTCCTGCTGATGACGGTGGTGCGCCATGTCCTGCTGATGACGGGAATAGCGCCATGTTCTGCTGATGGCGTGAATGCGCCATGTTCTGCTGATGACGGGGATGCGCCATATCCTGCTGATGACGGGAATGCGCCATGTGCTGCTGATGACGGGAATGCGCCATGTTCTGCTGATGACGGGAATGCGCCATGTTCTGCTGATGGCGTGAATGCGCCATATCCTGCTGATGACGGGGATGCGCCGTGTCCTGCTGATGACGGGGGTGCGCCGTCGGCTTCGGCGTCCACGGATGTTACCAGGTTCGAGGTATGCATCTGATACGGGCGCTGAAGTTGCCTCACTTAAAATAAAACGTTCGGCCCGATCGCCATGCATCACAGGAAGAGAAAAGCCAGTGGCACTGGCGGCCGGCGTGCCGTCAGGGAAACTGAAAAAGTAGCATCCATTAGACACTGCTACACGGCTGGCAACGACAGCGGTAGATAGGCCACATTACGAGTAAGGCCTGCGCCACGGCGGCTCCTGGACAGGTCACGACCTTTGCTTACGGCCCGCTTGCTTAGAGAACCGTCGCACGCAGGTCTCTCACTAGCCATAAGTGTGGGCCCACTAAGTCAACAGTCCGGCATGCACGCGCGGGCAGAATGTACGCGCTGGACGATCACCCGAATAAGCGCCTCAAACAAAGGCAAGGTCACCTTGAAAACGCCACAAGGCCGCAGACCGGCACATTGCCATCGTCCGCCCACACTCCGCCTACAGTTATCTCACACTGCAAACAATCAACAAATATCTCACCAGTACCGTCATAGCTGCTCGCAAAGCCCACCGGGTGGCACGATCGCTGCACGCCTTCACCTCGTGCGCTGGGTTAGGAGCGACCAACACAGATGACCGACGACCGACAGCACATCCTCACCTGCTGGTCGACAGCCCCCGCCGCGCAGCCGCGGACTGCCGTCCGGACAGGGGGCCCGACGGACGAGCAGCACCCGAGCCATCAGTGCCATACGGACCGCGGTGTCGCGAGCGTCCGGCCGGTCCGTCTCCGCCCGCTCACCCAGCGCGTACACTGCAGCACCAGGTCAACACGGTGTGAAGCTGGCACGATCTTGGTTTTCGACGCATCACATGTCCCTGTTTCGTACCAGCTTTCCCGTTCATGATTACAGGCAGCCCTGTTGGCCGCGATTCTCTGCAGTCCCCTCGTCCACGGATCTAGATGGCTCCATCGTTCATGGATTTAGACAGCTCCATCGTTCACGGACCTAGATAGCTTCCTCGTACATTTCAGACAGCCTGTCCGCCTTAGATCCCCAATAGCCTTTCGCTCATGACCCTTAGCAGCTCCCTAGACTCTCAATTCTCAGCAAGGCTCGACATCAAACAACGTTTCTAACTTTCCAGGTTAAGCCCACATATAGACTCAAAACGACACATTTTGGCGACTCCAAAAATAGCAAACAGCGGAGTTTGTAAAAATCTGATCGCTCACTCACCACAAAGGACAATGACGACGACAACCACCGCCACGGTCACGTAACTACCAACCGCCAAACACGTAACCGGGCTCGATATCTTGCGGGCAGGGCGCGGCGGGTCTGTCTGTGCCGACTCCATCGCGAGCCTCCTGAGCGGCGCTGACCCGGTCACCAGCGGCCTGTGCGTGCGCCGACTGGGAGCCGTCGCCGGCGCAGCACGCGACCGTCCCAGCTCCGCTTCCTGTCTGCGGTCGGAAGGACCGCCGCGATACACGCTGCACGAGCGCCGCCGCCGGCTGATGACACCGGGACGCTACTGTGGCTTCCGTACTACCGGGACGCTACCGTGCTACTGGGACGTGCTACGGGGACGTGCTACTGGGACGCCACCGTGCTACCGGGACGTCCCGCCCGGGGCCGCGTTCCCCATTGCCAAAAGCTGTCTACAAGTTGCAGCCTATGACGTTAAAGGTAAGTGCGTCACAACAGCTCCCGTGGCTTGGAGAATAATTGCTTACGTATGACGTGGTTGCTCGCGTCGTCATAGGTAGTAACTCAAGTAGGTACTTTGCCAATAAGGAACGTGGCCCGGGTGTCTGCTCCGTCTCGCCTGGGTGTCCGCTCCGCCTCGCCCGGGTGTCTGCTCTGTCGGACGAGCCGGGGGGCGGGGAAGCACGTGCGTGGCCATCGCATCCGACGGAGGGCCCGGGTACCAGTCCGGCCTCGAGCGGGGTGGTTTCGCTTTGCGGGGACGGCGCTCAGGCACAGTACCGCGAGGCTGCGAAGGACGCACGGTGGGGCTTCCTGTGGCTTTGTCATGGGACTTCTGGACGTCGAGCGCGCCACCTTCCGCTGGTCTTTCCAGTTCACGAGATAAGACGGTTAGGACGAACAGTACAACAAAGCATGTGATGCGTACTCGTACGCTAACACCACACTTATATTCATGGAGACGGAGCGTCATTTACAGACGTTTGGTCTGGATCATGGACTCGATACAAAGGAGCACCCCCACAGGCCCCGTACGTCGGTGGCCGTGAGAAACTGATACTGCACTACGGGGTGAGGGGGGGGGGGGGGAGGGGACTTTGGCTTCCCAGCATGTGAGAAAACCGATCGGTAAGACCGTGGCGGTGAATGCAAACAAGCAAACCGGAATCCCTGCATGCCTCCCCCAACTGCGGGGCAAGCCACCTCGACTCCGAACAAACCAGTAGTGCAGTTATAATCCCTTACTCCGTAGCCAGCGCGATGAGTAGCTCCGAAGCGCATCAACTACGGAAAAAGTGGCACCTAGATAAGACAGCAGCATTAGCTTTATTCCTCGGAAAAACCAGGAGAATGCAGACATAGTTTGATATTTCGGCAACATGTCCTTATCGAAACAACAGCAGAAGTCCTTCTTCACTTCACTTCACTTCTACTATTGTTTCGATAAAGGCATATTGTCGAAATATCCACCTAACCACATCTGCATTCTCCTGGTTTTTCCGAGGAATAAGGCTAATACCACTGTCTTATCTATGTGAATAATGTTCCTCGCTAATGCACTGAACAACTACATAAAAAGTAACACTCATTCATGTGTGTCAGGGTTGACGGCCAGCCCGTACACCCGGAATGAATCATTCCGGCGTCTTCGGCCAGCACCAGCGCTGCAGACAGCTGGCGCGTCCCGCCAGACGGACGGATTTCCCCGAGAGGAGCCTAAACCGCAGGCCGGGCGCGGGCGGAAGAGTCGCCGCCGACCCCGGCGCTCCAGCACGCCCTGCCCGGGCTCTGTCCTCCCTCAGCTACCGCGGTGCCTCTCATAGCGCGAGGGCGGTGCAGGGAGGCTCGCGGGTGCGCCGGGTCCTCCGTCGCCGCACCGCTCCGATGCCATCGCCAGCGTCGATGTCCTCGTCAGCCGGCGAGCGCCGTCTCCTCGTTACACACACACACACACACACGCACAGCAACGCACGCACGCACGCACGCACGCACGCACGCACACCACACACCACAGCACACACACACACGCCACACACACACACACACACACACACAACACACACACACACACACACACCACAACACGCACACACACACCACGCACACACACACGGACAAATCACAGCACCACGCACACACACAGCACACACACACACACGTAACACACACACACGTAACACACACACGCACACCACACTCACACACAACCACACACACACACACACACACACACACACACACACACACAACACACACACACGCACACAACACACACACACAACAAGCACACCACAACACACACGCACACACACACACACACACCACACAGCACACACAGCACCACACACACACAACACACACACACACACCCACACACACAGCACAGCACCACACACACACACACACACACACACACGTACACATACATGCCGACTGAGCCACCCGAGGCCCTGCGCCCGGCGGCTGCACCACCAAATTCCCCGTCAGCAGCGGTACGGAAGGACGACGTCGCCGCCCCTCCGGCCGGCGGGAGGCCAGGCTGCGGACTCCCGGCTGGCTGGGGCAGCGCGCCTCGCTCCCCTCACTGTGTGCCGGTCGCCCACACCACCACAACGCGTCGTCTGAAGCGGGGAGTGTATTTGCCAGCGGTGGTCATTGTTACAGGCGACAGCACGGCGAGTACCGACTGCCCTGTGTGACGCAGCACACGGACAGCGGCGACCCGGCGGCGCGCGAGACGCCGTCGACACCGAGCCGTCCGATTGACGGCAAACATCGCGGCTGCGGCGGCTCCGCGGGCGCCTGGCCGGCCCGAAGCCCGCCTGGGCCTCCCCACGCCGTCCGGCTGCAGAGCGACAGCCGCCGCGTGACACCTGTCGTGCGCCGAGGGCGGCCGGGCCGACCTGACCCGCTTCGCGACCGCGGCGGACGCCCCGAGAGGTCGCGACGCGCGTTCCCGCGGCGCGCACCTAAGTGGGACCCGCGCCCAGCGACCGCCGGGCGCGCTCGGGCCCGGGCGGCGACGCGGAGGCGGTTGTGCGGCTATAGCCTACCGAAATCTCCCGACGCCCGCAGCGGTACACTTCCTCGAGCTGCGGCGACGGACGGCCGCGCCACGCCGCCCACACAAGCGAGTATGCCGGGCGCTCTTCCCGGTGAATCTCTTTGGTATCACACCCGGCGCCGACACACAGCAGACGAATGATCACAGAAACCGAATCGCAGAACCGGTCGTCGTTATCTTATCCGAAACGGACCGTTAAATCTACCGCTAACACGAACCGAACAGCAACGCACCTCGCAGTCACAGGCGATCGGGCAGCGGTTTACAAAGCTCTAAGGTCCTATACGTAAATTGTTCTATCCACCTACAAATAAATAGCTACAAGTAGAATATCGTGAGATTTCACAGCTCCCGATAGAGAGACAGCATTCAGCCATTTCGCGCATGCAAGAGACAAATGCCTGGGTTTGTGACGTGGGCTAAAGCCAGAGCCGTGAGGCGCCGTCCGCCGACGCATACGCTACCATCCAGTGGCGCCGCCACGTGGTCAGATCGGCAACTACTACCACCCCGTCAGCGAGTCGGCGCGCACCAAGCTGACTATTGCACAGGCCCAATGCAAGCGCTGTCCGCGCGGCAATCCCTCTTCGCCCTCCCGCCAGTGACGTCAGCGCCGGTGCGGCGTGACGTCACACAAGCACACACACGCACAGAAAATAGATGGCGCGTCGATCGGGCCGGGGTCTCAGGCGCCGATTCCGCCGCGGGCCGTGGCGTGGTCCGCTCTATGTGGGACAGAGCACTGCCGGCGGACACAGGGAGGAGCTCAGCGGGGAGGCCCGCAGCGCGCGCGCGCGTCAGCACGGCGTCCGCGCGGCCCTGACACAGCGGCAGGGCCTCGGCCCTTGACCCAGCGAGGGAGCGAAGGGGAGGCGGAGGCGGCGGCGGCGGCGGAGGAGAGTGGGACCTGGCGTGACCGGCGGCGCATCTCATCAGCCAGCGCTGGCGCGTGACACAGCCGGGCCGGCGACATGCGATCACGAGAGCGTCGGGATCACCCAGGACGTCGGAGAGGAGCTGTGGAGATGGACCAGATGAGTGAGGCTACATCGAATGACGAGACAAGCCAATCATGCGGACGAATTCTGCGGGTGACACGAGCAGAAGAAACACAGTCTCGAATGTGTTTGAACAATACTTCATACAAGCACATCTATCATCTTGTTTATATCGCAAGCCGTTACCAGCACGACTAACCAAAGATATGTCCAAACAAAACAGCTCACAAGCACGCAAACGAACGACGCTTTATAGCCTTCCTCCACAAAGCCGCAGCTAAGCACAGTTTCTCACGATACCCGGGAGCTTCAGCAGCCTCCACCCGCGAGGGTGGTGGGACTCGTCTGACTGCGAGGGAGGCCGGGGAACGGGGGACGGGGGAGGGGGAGACACACCGCTGATGCAGGTGCGTGGAGCCCGCCGGACCGGAGGAAGAGCGTCCAGACGACCGACAGGAGGGCCAGCCAACGGCGGAGGGCGGACGACGGGTGGGTACGGACCAGTCTGTTCACGGTAGACCACGGCGACTGGCGGAAGGATACGGACCGGTGGGAACTGATGCTGATCAGTTCGGAGCAGACCCGGGCAGGTGACAGGAGGCCGGCGGACAGGAGGCATCAGCCAGGACAGCAGGACCCGGTCCGTTCGGAGCAGACCCGGGCGGCCAACAGGAGGCCGCTAAACAGGAGGCATCAGCCAGGACAGCAAGACCCGGTCCCTTCGGATAAGAACCGCTGGGCTGACAGGATGCATCAGTCAGGACAGCAGGACCCGGTCCGTCCGGAGCAGGACCTCGTGGCTGACAGGAAGCCGGCGGACAGGAGCGAGCGTCAGGACAGCGGACGCCGGCGCGCTCAGACCACACCCTGGCAGCCGGCGCGGGACGGCGGGACGGCGGC